TAAAGAAAACATATCATTTCATTCTTAAATAACTGTGGTTATCTGCTGATGAGATGTGTGTACCTGTTGGGCATTGAATGACTTCTCAGATCTTGGAAACAGATTCAGCACAGTCACCTGCATTCCTGTTTCAAATTGATTTTCATGTGGTACTTTTTTTTTTTTTAATCACAGCAACTGCCAGAAGCCCAACTTCATAAAAATATGTCATTAAAGGGAATGTAGCACAATCTAATGTTGAATTTGTAAACTACTACATAGTCAGTAGTTTTCCTATATGTGACATGTAAGATTTTGCTGTGTTTTCCTAGAACATCTGAAATATTCTATGGCATCACAGTGCACAGTTTACAAACTGCCAATATTATGGCATTTTTAAAAGACCCGTTGTATATATCAAACACCCTCATTATATGAGATAAAACTAATACAGTAATTAAAAGGGAAATTTCCTCCTCCCATCTCCCATTCTAGAAGAGATAAGACACGTGTGTGGAAGTTTGACCAGTTGTCAAGCTGCCATTTCTTTTAGTGTCTAAAAGCATAATAGGGAAGAGAATTGTTGCTGAGAAGGACTCTTAAGACTTAATTCCCACTTAATTACTGGATTTAATAAAGGCAAGTTTTAAAGAGGTAACTGTGGCCTGACAAACACTCTGTGCCAAGTTAGAGGCAAGAGAAACTTGAATTATTTCAGAGAAGAGAGGAAATAGCATTAGCTGAAAAAGAAGTCAACTCTAGTCTTTAAGATTTTTTAAAGTTCTCCCTAGACTGAACAAAGAAGGGGAAAAAAATTTTAGAAAGATTAGTTTACATACTTTATAATGACATACCTTGTTGAAAAAGGCATTTGACATTAAGAAAGGGTAGCTAATAGCTATGACCTTGCATTTGTAATTTAATGTATTTATAGGATAGATTCTCTGTCTCTGAGTAGAAAATCACTAGGTTGCCTTCCCTTCCAGTTTCTAAACCTTCATTATTTTAGAATAATTGCTAAGATTTAAGTAATATTTATTTTTATGCATGTATACATACGTACATGTACACATACTTATATACACATATTTTTAAATGTATACATTAAAAATAGAAATAGTATATAGTTTCCAAACAAGCAGAGGAGAAAAAAGATTGAATGATAAAAATCTATCCAAAAGAAGAGAAAAAGGAAATTGAACTGGCAAAACACAAAGCATGAAATAAGATGTTAGCTATGAATCCACATATTATCAATAGTTATAACAGTAAATGTTAATAGATTGATGACTCCAGTTAAAAGACAAAGACTGTCACAACCGTATTCTGTTTACAGGAATTATGTGTAAAGATTAAAGATACAGAAAGATGGAAAGTAAAGATACTTCTAAAATTACTATGCAAATACTAAACAAAACAAACGTGGTTTACTTATATTAATAATAGTTACATTACAGTTGGACAGTTATTACAAAAGGGTTACTGCACATTGATAAAATAACCCATCAAGAAGATGTAACAATTAAAAATTTGATGTACCCAGTGACAAAGATTCAAAGTAAAAATGCGAAAATTGTCAAAGCTACAAGGAAAAATAGACAGTTCATTATCATAATGGGATATATATACATGCTTCTTTCTGATCAAACAACCAGACAGGAATTAGTTAAGGGTATAGAATAAGGGTCAGCAAATTTTTTTCTGGGCCAGATAGTAAATATTTAGGCTTTGCAAACCACGTAAGGTCTCTGTTGCATTTTTTTTTTTTAAACAACCCTTAAAAATAGTGAAAACCATTCTTAGCTTGAGGGTAATACAAAAATAGGTTGCAAGCCAACTCTTGCCTTCAAGAATTTCAATCAGTAGCCAAAAATCTTTCCACAAAGAAAGCTATGGCTTCTCTAGCAAATTTTACCAAATGTTTAAGAAATAATGATTGTAAGGTCACTTTTACACAAACAAAAAGAGGAAACATTCCTTAACTCATTTTTTAAGGCTAGGATAACCTTGATAACAAAACCTGACCAAAAATATGAGAAAGGAAAATTTCACTTAATAGATAAAAGAATCCCAGAAAAATCATAAGTAAAGTGGATTCAGCAATACAGAAAAAGGATTATATATCAAGAGCAAGGCTGCTTTAACTTTAGACTAAAGGAGGACAATTGTTATTTCATTAAATGCAATGAATTTGATAAATTCCAGTATTCATTCATGATAAAAACTGTTAGCAAACTAGGAAATAGAAGGGGAGAACCTCCTTAACCTGAAAAAATACCTAGACAAAATCTGCAGTAAATATGTCTAGTGGTGATGCATTGAATGCTTTCCCTTTGAAATCAGGGAAATGACGAGGATGTCTAAGATAAATAGAAGATATGAAGATTGAGAGGAAACAAAACTTATTTTGCACTGATATGATTGTACAAAGAGAAAATCCACCAGAATCTATAAATACATGTTTAGAGTTAATGAAAGTTAGACAGAGTTGTTGAATACAAAGTCAGTATAAAAATCAATTGTATTTCTGTATACCAACAGTAAAATGCCATTTGCACTGGCATGAAAAAACAAAGTGCTTAAGAAACCGAACAAAAGCTGTGCAAGACCTCTCAGATGTTTGTTATAAAGTGGCCCAGGTAAGTGGAGCGATAAACTACCTCTGTGGATTAAAGATATTATAAAACTCATAATTGGCCATGGATCCAATGTAATTGCAGTCAAAATCCCAAGTATTATTTGCCAGACTTGTTGATTCTGAAACACACAGGGGAATGGAAAGACCAAAAAAGAGGGAAGATGTTCTTGAACAGCAACAGCAAAATAGTGGATAAGACTGTGTATTGGTGCTGGAGTAGTTGTCTAGGTCAGTGGAACAAAATTTGAGAAACAGATCCAAGAATACATGGATTTTGACATACCTCAGACAGGCAGTGCAGATCAGTAGTGTAAACTTTTCAGTAAAAGTGGTGGGACAAGTGGGTATCCACATGGGAAAAGAATTTTCCCAGACTGCTACCTTACCAAATACACAAATCAGTTTCAGATTTATTAAAAACCTAGATGTGAAGAGCAAAACTGAAAAGTCCTTTAAATATAATAGAGTGTCTCCACAACCTCAGGGTGGAAAACTGAAATAGGTCGTAAAAAGTGCTGACTGTAAAGGAAAGGTTCATATATTCAACTTGACTGAAGTTAAGTGACTTTGTTCATCAAAAGGTACCATGACAGTAATGACAAGACAAGCCACAAATTGAAAAATATATTTGCAAAAACATTACACAGTGTTGAATATCTTGAATACATAGAGAATTACAGCTGGCAGGGAAAATTATGTCAATCAATAAGAACTATACAGAGGGATAAATCTAAATGGCCAATAAACAAAAATATATTCAGCCTTGTTAGTAATCAGAAATGCAAATTAAAATCACACTGAGATACCACTACACCATAAGATCAGCTAAAATAAAAATGTCTGATGCATGAAGGCTTGCTCCTGTGAAACGGAGTCATACGCACTTCTGTGGGAGTGCAAGTTGATACAAGCTGGTTGCAAAACAGTTTGGCATTAACTAATGAAGTTGAAGGTGTGCATACCCTGTATGACACAGCAATGACACTCCTAGCCGTAGACTTTAGAGACCGTACCATGAGACACTCAACAAAAGTATTCCTTTTTTTTTTTTTTTTTTTGACTGGTAAGGGGATCGTAACCCTTGGCTTAGTGTTGTTTGGCACCATGCCCAGCCAGTGAGCGCACCGGCCATCTCTATATGGGATCCAAACCCGCGGCCTCGGCGCTATCAGCACCGCACTCTCCCGAGTGAGCCACGGGGCTGGCCCAACAAAAGTATTCTTAGCAGCAGCTTGTAATAGTAAAAATGAATGTTTCTCAGTAGACACGGACAATGTGTGGTGTATTCATATAGTGGAATGTTAACCAAAGTGAAGATGAACAAGCTCCAGCTACACAGAACAGTGGCTCACACAGTACTCACTGAGAGGGGAAATCACAAAAGACTATATGAAGTATGAGTCCATTTATATAAAGTTCACAACAGGAGAAACTAAAAGTAAATCTGCAGCAAAAAGCAAGGAGATGAGTCTGGTCACAAGAGTCAGGACGTGGAGACCTCTGGGTGAGCAAGGGAATATTACTGACCAGAGGGACCTGAGGGCTTCACAACGACCAGTGTCCTGTAGCTACACTTGGGCCACGGCTACATGGGTGTGCACTTCCTAATCTTCCACTTATATATGTGGGAGAAAATGTACACTGTATGCTTTGATTATCTTTTAAGAAAACATGTATTGTAGCTTTCGAAATACTGGCATGCAAAGTCATCTGTTTGTATTGCAAAATAATTGTTATAAATCCTAAGTAATAAAAATCCTACTATGATGTGATCAGCTGCATGGTCCTATTACTACCATTCTATGAGTAGTAGTCAAAGCAAAGTAAAAACAAGTGTTGTTTTTAAAAATTATGTATCTTTTACTTTCTAAGTTTTATCACGTTCTAACATTTTCTTATCTTCAAAGCAAAGTAAAAACAAGTGTTGTTTTTAAAAATTATGTATCTTTTACTTTCTAAGTTTTCTCACGTTCTAACATTTTCTTATCTTTTTTTTTTTTAAAGAAAAGGTGGATTTTCTGTTGATCTCTTTGTAAGGGTATCTAACCAAGCTGCAGGCAACATGTACAAGCAGTTGGGCTACAGTGTACACAGGATAGTCATAGAGTATTATTTGGCCAGCAATGGGTAGCCTGATGAGGATGCTTATGGTAAGCTCTTTTCTGCGTCAGTACCCCCAAGAGGAAGCCAAAAACAGTTACATTCATCTACAGATTGAAATCTTCATTTATTTTAACAAAATTAAAAGAATCTTATTTGACCCTAATATTTAAATCTCCTTTAACCTGCTTTTACAAACCTATTCATAATTAACTTATATGAACTAAACGATGGTTAGTTTCTGTAAATTATTATTTTACTGTGTTACTGGCATGTTATTTTGCTAATAAGAATGAACATTTATATGATGAGCTGAATCCTGGGTAGGGTTTGGTTAGCATCTGTTATACTTGCAATTGGGAGTCTCATTTATAAATACATTTTGCTTAGAATCTGGTAGAAGTGGGGGTTGGGAACAAAACTTCTTATGGGAACTTTACCTATACACTTTAAGTTAGATATAAAATGTTTTGATATTTGGGTGTTTACCTTAAACTTTGCTTCCTTACAATATGAGGAAAGCACTTTCCAGGGACACTGAGAAGAAATCCATCCTACCATTACCTCATCCTGTGAGGCCCGAAGACATTGCATAACCATGGGCAGTGGTTCTTAGTTAGGCAGATGCTCCAGATGTTTTATGGATAATGTTATTTTCATTGGATTATCCTGGAGTTCTATTAGGAGAAAAAGTAATCATCTAGGTCTGAAAGGCTTCAAGAAAATACAGATTATCAACTTATTTTAAATCTCATTGTTTCCAGTTAGCAATATCCTGCCTATTAAAGCTGTTCACAGTAATAAAATTTAATCAACAAGACAGGTCAGAAGGAAACATTTCATTCTCATGGTTCATAATATTCGCTATATGCTAGGGAAAAGACTTGTTCCAATCTCCTCTTAAATTCTGTGCCTGAGAACTACTGCTACATATATATTTCTTGAATTTTGAACTGTTAATTGAAGCTTTAAAAGCACATATGAAATGTATAAATCTAAGATATGTAATAAAATACACTGTTGACTCTGAATGTTTTCTGGAAGTTTTTTCATTATTTATAAACTAAATCAGGATTGTGAAAGGTCATCATTTAGGATATGTTGTTTCTCTTAATTGAGTTTTTGATTTATTTATATATAAAACATTTCTAAATATAGAAAGATGCTGAGGTTTTTCTTAAAGAGGAAAAAGAACCTAATTCCTAAACAAAGGCCATATAATTAGATCATAGGCCAACCATGTATTTTCATATGCAGTTTCATCACCTGTAATATCTGAATATATCCAGTGAGGAAAAGAACTAACTAAAGACAAATCCACAAGAAATGATTATTTAAGTAAAAGCTTTTACTTTTGAAAGGACTTATTTTGGTGGAGTTGAGTGTGGGAGGGAAATGAATCCTTTTATGTTCTCCCATGAGAAAATAACTTTTCCTTCAAGCATTTCATCCTGGCACATGCTTGTTATATGTTTACATTGAGAACATGAGTCAGAAAATGATCACTAACTTTTTTTATGCATACAGGCAACATAAACAGAACAGATAATTCTAGGAAGATTGATTAGTCACTTATATTAGTGTTTGACCTGTTTTCATCTCGCCCTTTGACACTGAAGACTTAGCCAAAGGACATTAAAGTGACAAATTCTCCATTTCATAGACTAGACAGACCTTGATACTCAATAGTCAAAACTGATCTGACACCTCAGCAGCTGACACCAGTCTAGTGACTAAAGCAGCGAGGCTGAAAACAGATTCACCTTTTATCTTAATAGGCCTATTTTTTTCTGCCCTCAAACACTGTATCTTATTTACAAGACAGTATTTAGTAACATCATTGAGTAGCGTTTATTCCCATGGGTGAATATATTTGTAAATTTAATGATAAATTTGATTATTAATGGTCATTTTAGGTGAAAAACAGTCTTAAAAATACAGTTCTAGTCCTTGGGCAGTGAACAATGTAAGAAAAAAATATGCTTGAGAAATACAGGCCAAGTTAAAGGAAACAATCCCTCAAATCATTTAATTCAGGCAAATATTTTTTGCTTGAGAATGTGAGCAACATGTCAGCAAATAGGTTGTCATTCTTGTGCTACTTTAAGTTTCATTATTTAGCATATAGTTACCTTAAGTGTTTTTACACATTGTCTAAACCAAGGGTAAATTTAATGTGTCAGGTGTCATGAGTGGACGTGTAACACACTGTAGCACACTGGGAGATATGTATTGGTTCTCTAGGTAGAAATAATTCCATTGTGCACTAAATTTGGGAACCTATCAGCATTGCTACTGGAGATTCATAATGTACGAGGTACTTCAAAAAGTTTGCAGAAAAACAATTAAAATAGAAATCTTACCATGAACTTTTTGAAGACCCCTTGTGTTATAGCATATCAAAAGCTCCAAGAAGCTTAACTGCAAAGAGGCTCAAATAATAAGGTTTAAGCCTTAATCCAGGTTTTCCCAAACTTATCTGACCATGGGACACCATTTTTCATGGCACACATGTAAACAAGGCTTTAGCTTTAAGTAAGTTATTAAAAGACTTTACCAGTTTGGGGAACTATTGAGCACATAAAATTAGATTAAATTGTTCTTGGTAAAAAAAATACCTTGTTCAGAAATATAGTCACTGTAAATTATTTTCCAAGTAATGTTTTCTTAATGTAGTCTTAAACATTAAATTTACCCTTGTTTTAGAGCATGTGAAAAAACACATAAGGTAACTAAAAACGAAGGAAACAAAGTACCATGAGAATGATAACCTGTTTGCTGATATGTTGCTCACATTCTCAAGCAAAAAATGTTTGCCTGAATTAACTGACCTGAAAGATTGTTTCCTTAACCTGGCTTATATTTCTCAGGCATATTTTTTCTTGTATTGTCAAAAACAAGAAACAAGCTGTCAAAGTATTAGCCCATTTTATGAGTGAGGAAACAAAAGTTAAGTTCTATAATCACTAAATGGCAGAGCTGAGAACTGAACTCAAGTTCGTGTGGCTCTGAAGACATAAAAAAGGTACAGGTTTCAGATGAGTGCATAAAAAATCTTTTTTTTTTTTTCCTTTTTGTCTTTTTCGTGACTGGCAACGGATCGCAACCCTCAGTGTCGTGCCCGTACCAGACCGGGACCGGCAACGGGATCGCAACCCTCGGTGTCGCACCTGCACCTCGCTC